TAGGTTTAAAGTGTATAATAGCAACAGTTATTGTAGATATTATTCATGTTAAACACACCGGAATCTCTTAAGAACTTGGAATCAAAGACGAAATTTTGACTGAAAACAATATTTGGTTTAATACAATCGAAAATATTGTATATATGTTTTCTTATTTTACACATTAAAAAAACATCGGTGGTTATATAATCACCAAGAAATTCAACATGAGCAAAGGTAGAAAATATTAATATAAAAACTGTTTTATTTTCTCTTTGCCGAAGACAAATTCGCAATAACTCTCGACACGTGTCTAATATTTGTTGACCTAGTATAACAAAGAAGGGTTCATTGGAATCAGTGAACTCATGTCTGCAAATTAATTGTAGTTATTCATTTCCAAAACAGCCTCAGACCATGAATAACAATTTTTTCCGTAACATTTTCGGGCAGACCTATTTACAGAATTATTGAAAGACACTGTTGGTATAAATAATTGTACAAAGGATTGTTCAAGGTAAACGAAGATTTATGAATTGTATACATCACAGTCGAATAAGGATTAAAATGGAGATTGAAACAAATTAATTTATCTACTTGATAAATGATAAGTTTTTAACGTAAAATACAACAGAACACTAAGATATAGCTGCATTACTAATGAGCTTGTATCTTGAATTCCGTTTAGACAAAAGGGAAGATCAATTTTCTTAAAAAGAAAACTCCGAAAGCTGGTAGAAAAAGAATATGCTGAAAGCACCTGGCGCCATAGGAATATCCAGCATGAGAGGCACTTTACGATTTATTTTCATTTATTAACCATTTGCCAAGGGAAAGGACAAATTCGTCAAGCTTATCGGGGCAATATGTACATTTGTCACAATGCCACGGGCTCTTCTTAGTTCTCTAGAAATTCTCTTTCTTGGTATTGATTCTCTGAAGAAGGACGAGCAAAATAAACACTGAATCTGAATAAATAAAATTTAAATTTATAACTTTATAAGCTCCCTAAAGAACTGTTTAAGAAAATTAATGGTTTGATTACACAAATATTACTTGCAATTAACAAAACAATTAAAAATAAAAATATCCAAATATGGGCTACTTTAATTCGAAATAATGGAATGAAAATAAAATATTCAGGGACATAACGCTTCCTTGTAATAAATGAAGATAATGGACGCAGAGACCATAATCATTAAAATATTTTTTAATAATTAATTAGATTTTAATGACTAATTAGAAGACTATAGAAAGAAAACCAAAATCTTCACTTATGATCAATGTTATTAAACAACAAAAAAAATCACAAAGCAGATTTATAGGTTAAAAATTCTACTAAAAAGACACTCACACAAACGCTCCAAACATTTCAATCCAAAATATTTAGACTTATTACTCAAGCACCTCGATACGTTTCTAACGAGACTTAGCACACTGATCTTAGAATGCCCAAAGTCGTATGACTACAAAATATTTCATGACAATTCACAGGTACATAACAATAAGCTTTTGGTAAAAATGGCCACAATTAAGATGCCTGACAACATCACGAGGAGGCTGAAAAGTTCTTGTATGAGATACATTCTGTAAGTTCTATTTTGAATCTGAAATAATGCCAAAGAAGAGATACCGATGGGTATTTTTTTTTCTTCCTCATGCCATATTATTTTGTTACTGATCTTGCCAAACGATCCACTGATTGTTAATGATGAGGATGTAAAAATGAAGTTGAAAAAAAAAGGTTGTAATCAAAATCTCAAATATATTTCTAATTAGCACTGAACGACTTTCGAAACAATTACTTCTTATTTTAATTAGTTCTTATTTTCTCAATCACAAGGAAGATAGCGACATGTGTGCTCTTAAATAAAATACGCTAGCGCAAGGGTTCGAACTAGGAGTTCCCCGATTGACAGAATTTATTTAAGAGTAGCAAATTTGGAAATACTTTTTTCGTAGCTTAATTAAAAACATGTTTAGTAATAGACATGGGTTAAAGTTTTCTGAAGATAATATTTATATCAAAACACATTAACTGCTCTGAATTAAAAAAAAAAATTAAGTATTGTAAAATGTTGACTTTCGGTCTCAAGAGTTGATTCACGGAAAACAATGGACCAGAGAATTAAGAATCCAAAGCCTTACCTACTTATCATCCGATTTACTAAAAAAATATAACAGTGATATAAACATAAGCGAATACAATAGCACAATGGTTAGATAATATTAAACATACAGCAAATCAGAAACGATTGAACGAGCACGCCATGTAAAAAGCAATACAATGCGTAATATGCAAATTAAAGTATCGATTGGAAAATTCCAAAGGAAGAAAGTACAATAGCTTTTATCTCGGCTCTATCCCATTGTGGAATTAGGGAAATGAAGAGACTCATGTCGCATCTCGATTAGTTCAATCAGGCGACGATAAGCAAGTTAAACCCTCGATAGTGTTTCTTGGGAAGACTGGAGCAGCCCTCTAATCATTGATTGAAGAAAAAATCATCCGATATAACTGCAATTAAAAACAAAAAACGTGAAACGGAGGACTAATAGTAGTAAGTAAAAAAATTAAGAAGAGATTTAATAATATTTTGCTTTATCAGAACAGGTCATTTAAAATTTTGCTCGTATTATATCTGTAGCACCTATGAATGGTTTGTTAAGTGCCTAAACAATACTTTTTGGAAAAAACGCAATTTGGAATTTTCACAGGGCCATGTTCAATTTTCGAGTTTCAATCCATAGATCACAGAGGAATATTCATTTCCGAAATAACTTAGCCAATTAAACATAAATAAAGAAAAAATAGCTTTCTAGTGATAACCATTAAAATAAAAAAAATTAAACCTAACACAATGTTTACAGTTGCCACAGATATATAAGTGGGGTGTAAGCTTTATTTGGTTATAAGTTAGAAACTGAACGTAAATCCTAAATGCCAAATTATTCAAAAATGGAGCCTGATTAAGTAAAATAATTGAATAGACCTCTTGAAAATAACAGAATTTTAAAACTTAATGTACAAATACTATTACTAATACTATTGATAAAAAAAAATTTCTGGATACCATAACCAATATTTCCCGACAGTCAATTGATTCACTTGGTTCTACCGAAGAGCTGATTGAAGCGAATCATGAACTGCTCACTAGGATTTGCTTGAGTAGATCGAGGAGTTCCCATTTGTTTAACCTTTATGGCGATAGTTAAATAACTCCTCCGCATTTTATATCCCGAACATTCAACTCCCAGAACCTTTCCTACCTCTGCAGTCTTTTGCAGTACAATCTGTTTTCCACACTCAGAAACTCCTTCTCACAGCACTAAAACTTTCGAACATTCTTTTCTTACTCGTACTACAGCTTTCTGGAATTCCTTACCATCTAAGACTCACCATTCTGCTCTCCTTTTTTCGTTCAAATTCCTCCTTTTACGATACCTTCTAATATCTCAAAAAGACGCTCTCCAATCTTGAAATTTTAATTAAAGAATAAATAGTTGATACCAAGTGATTAGTTTTAATATTTTCATTTTATTTCTTTATTTTTATTATATTTTGGATTCACAAGACAATTATTTGTATTTTTGAGGTTTTTTTTTTTTTGTTGAGCACATATTTATTAAATGTTGAGGATCTATGGACAAACTGATGAACCTTGAATAGTTTTAGACAGTAAGAATTTTTGTTAATTATAACTATATATTTCTTATTTCTTAGGTGAATCTAGTCACAGAATAAAGTTTGTATTCAATTATGTTAAGAAATAAATATTTACAGAAACAAGTATGAACATAAAAGTAGAAGGTATAAAATTTAGTGATGCTTAAAAAAAAAAGAGGAAATAATAATTATTTAAAAAATCTGTTAGAGTTCAATCAAGTGACATATTTACATGTATAAATAACTATTGCATGTATTATGTAACCAGGATATTTTTTTTTCCTTTTTATTGCATCATTATTTTATTTTACTTTTTGTTTATTATTTATGAATTGGAAAGATCCAGTATCACTTTTGGCATAGCACTGTGATGCATAAAAACAAGCGATTGTTTTTTGTTTTTATCCATTTTTTTCTATCTACGAGATTATATGTATTAAATGTATATTGTGCTTACATTCCTCAATTTTAAATATATATATATATATATATATATATATATATATATATATATATATATATATATATATATATATATATTTCTATTGAATCACTTTCCTATTCCTATCTTAATTTCCGTGTTTTTTTTTATGGTTTACAATAACATTGAGTAGTGCATTACATATATAAATAATTTGTTTTCTTTTAACTTGTTTTCTTTAATAATATTTTTCTTCTCCTTTAGTCGCAATTGTTTTCTCATAAAATTAATTTAATGAACCTTCCCAATTGTATGTATCTATTTATTCTTATTTTATATCTCTTATGCTGGGATAATGTAATATTGTAATCCCGTTTCTCATCCTGTGACATGAATATATCTTTACTAGGTATATATTTTATTTGCTTAAGCTGTTTATGTTTTACCATAAAAAAGCAATATTTTTTATATAAATACTTTAGATATTTTTTCTTTTCTAGAGGTTTTGTTTTTTCTTAGTATAAATGTAACTTTTTATTCTATTTTTTTTTAAATACAATTATAAGAATAGTTGAGAGGATTTTATTTTATTTTTTAGTCATTTATATAGTATTGTTTAAGTTGTTGTATTCTTTGATTATTTATTAAGTTAGTTTTGGCCTGAAATGTATTTTTCTTTTGTAACTGTTCATTATTGTTATTGTAAGGGGACATCGTCCTAGAATAAAGTTTATTTTCTATTCCATTCTAGTCTATAAAAAAATATTTATGATAATACAAAATTTTATTTTTCAATGATTAATGTTAGTAAGTTTTAAAATTTCATAGAAGTGGAAGAAGCATACCAGAGTGCACTCTCCTTGATTTGGGTTGCAGAGGAGAATTATTAGGTCGGTGCGATTCGGTGCCAAAACCATTCTATTATTTATCCAGAAAGCTATAGCTGAGATATACGGCCCTCTATTGCAAAACCGCGATTTACGCAAATGGCTCCCGTTCCGTCGAAACCTTCCGAAATTCATGAAGTCTCCCTTCACCCAGTTGGCTACCGTCCAGTCCGCTGCATCTTACAACAGTAGGACAAGATCAAGTCGGCTAAGGGAAGCGAAAAAGAGCGGTAAATCCCTGTGGTATTTATACCAAGGGCGGAATTGGATTGTCTGGCAAGGAATGGAGGTAGAAGGAGATAATGCTGGAAGAGGAATGGAGAAGACTTTGGAAAAGGGATGGTAGGAATGGCACAATTGCCTCCTTCCATATATTCTTAGCCGCCGCAATGGAACGAAGGCAAAGTGAGAGTAGATATATCGCTCTACTTACCTTCTTTCACGGCCAGCTTTATTTTTATTGCAGGCATTTTAATTTCCCTCTTCTCAAATACTTTTAAGTTCCTGCATGTTAAGTTGTCGAACAAATTTCGGATAGAGTAAATCGTTACCAATCGTGGTATAATTTTTGAAGTGGAAAATTTTTAGGCGCGCTTAGCATTTTTTTTTGTGGTTAGTGAATGAGATTGAGCCATCATGCTCAGCTATACAAAGCTCGTTCGGATTAAGTCGGCTAGAAGTCGACTTAATTGCAATGAAAACTTCTATTTTTTGAAGCTGGATTAAAATATCTCAGAAACTAAAAATCGAACCTGTATACTGTAAGCGTGGAAAATATTTAGCATTTTATTCTCTTCATAATGAGCTATAATTCACATAACTATTAATGAATGTTATTAATATAAGCAAATGATAACATTTAGATTAAAATTTCGCAATTAAAATGCCATGGAGAATTCAGAAATCAATATGCAAAAGTCAATATAGATTTATTTTTAATCAGCCGTAATGAGATCGTCTCATTGCATACGAATGTATAAATATTTAATATTTTCTGTCACTATAATTAGTTTAGAACATAGGCAGGGAACCGAGGCCACGGAGGCCGCACTTGGCCTCTGTGACGTAGTTGCGGCCTCCAAACATGTTTTCATTATATTTATTAATCTAGCGCTGTAATTATTTAAGTCAATTAAGTTTGAAAATTAATAGAATTACTTTGAATGTATGCAAGTGAGTGTGTTTATTTAATGATGAATAAAAATAAAAAAACGTAAAACTAACCTTACTGCGGCCCCTAACGAAAAAAAGGTTCCCCCACCTATGGTTTAGAGAATGATAAAAATGACAATCAGTCAGAGCAAACTTTACCAGAATAATTTATACACAATTATAATTATACATATTATAAATGTTATTACTTTATTAATATAGAATACAAAATATATTTATATTCCATATTATCAATCTTGTCCTAATGTTTTCACTTCTATCTTGTTCTTTTTTTTTTTTTGTATCATGACATTTTGCTTCACGACTGATATCACTTTCGAAACCTTTCAATCGTATACAAATCAGAACAGACGAATGTTATCAAAACAGGGAAAAAATCAAAATTTAAACTTTCGTATTTTTATTTAATTTTTTTTTAGTGAGAAATACAATGTATGTTAAATATTAAATGCAAAAAAATATATTTATACAACTATTTTACAATAAAATTGTTGACAAACTGCCTTAGTCGAGGCAGGGGCGCTATATATACCATTCCGCACAACAAGCTACATCCTACCGCACTTCGTCAGTTCATAATTAGTCCATTCCGAGGTTATCTCACTAAAAAATTGACAATTTTTATTTAAAAAACGTAAATTTTTAGATTTTATTTCTAACGATTAAAAGTTTATCTGATTAAAAAAAAATAAAAAAAAATTATCAAAATAAATTTGTATATATTAATTTTAAACAGGTATTCCATTAAAAAAATATTTGGATACAAAATATATTATAATAAATATTCAATCTAATAAAATAAAGAATAAGTGAAAGTCACAAAGAAAACCCGGATTGCTATCAAGAATTAATTTTTAGGTATAAAACCAAACATAACAAAGACTCTTTATTTTTGGAAATGCAAACTTACAGGTAGGTATACAGACAATTGGTTTATTTGTTGAATCACGTGACGAATTAGAGTTTCGGGAAAATTATTCCCATCCTCAAAACTTAAATTCTTATACTCTCATATTCTTATATTCTCATACTTTCATAGGAATTTATGGTTAAGCCTGGTGTGCTCCTTTGTCATAATTTGAAATTTATGAGTTATAAATATAATAAAAATATACTGTCCGGAGCATCATCCTAGGAAGTTTTCTTTGCCAAAAATTAAATATCTTCTAGACAAAAAAGAAGAAAAAAAGATAACAGAGACTGTTTTATACAACATTAAAGAACAATTTAAATGCTTATCACTAATAAGGTATAAAAAATTGTGTTAGAATCAACTTTTGGTCTTCCTCAGCGTTTTCTACTAAAAAAATTTACTTGTGTCACAATCTTACCCGAAAAATATTCACAAACGTACCACATGCACTCCTTCGCAAAAAAACCTGGTTAATATCAAATTGTCTACGTACATAATGACTGCTAATTTACAAGTAATGTTAAACTCATAACGAGTAAAACATTCATTATTCTATCAGTACATACATAACAACAATTATTCAAATAAATAGAATAAAAACAATTACTTTTGTCTGTTAAAAGTAATGAAGGCCTATACTAGTGTTAATAGCAATGAGTTAGAAATGCTGTTAAATAGGTTGAAACAGGCACTTTTTCTTTCAAATAAACCTATGAGCAATTCCTTATAATTTCGCTAATATGATAACTGCCACAGTCGTACACAGTCAGCCTCCATCTAAAAAATTACTAATAATAATTAGCTACTCAAATAAACAACACATTAGAATGGAGTAATTCATTTGATTTTATAATTCTGATCCAAACTTCATTACTGTTTATTTCTTGCTTAACGTAATTTTTTTTTAAGAACTTTAATAAATAAAAGGCGAACTTTTACCTTAAAATGTAAAACTTACAAAAAAAATTGCTTCGAACTTTTATTTTACTCAAACGTTTCACAGAAACTGTTAAAATTGAACTTTTTAAAAAGAGTCCATAAAATTTTAAATTCCTCCATATACCAATTATGAAGAGACAATCATCATTATATAGCTTGATCACATTAAAATATGTGTGCCATCAATAGGATAGAAAACATAAATCAGTGTTTTATTTAAAACTATCAAAGTTTTTAGACTAAAGTATCAGTTACATTATTACTTTTTAAAAATTCTCATAGATCTCTCAACCTGTCATTTTTTTTTTTAACTCGAAAGAAGAATTTTAGAAATGCTATTATAAACTAAGAAAAATAAGTTATTATTTTTTCACAAATACGCTTTTGCTAAAAGACCTCATTTATCAATAAATTAGATGAGGGTTATACAAATATAAAAAAAAAAAAATAATAAATTAATTTGCCTAAGTAATGAAGCTGGCCTTCTTTAAATTATTTAAATTAACAGCCTGGGGTTTTCCCTTCTGAATAATACAACATCATTTCTGTCCCTATAATTAATTTAATTAGGGCCCCCTCCCGCTGTGTATACCGGATTTTATAACACCCCATTTTCCCTCATTATTTTAATCATCCCAAATTATTCTTGTTTTCATCCCGGGCCGATAATTAACCAAACTGTTAATTAACTATGAAAACAAAAATAATTACATTAAATAAGTAACTATTTTTGCATATATGAGTTAAATTAATTATTGTCAATGACTGTGATATGCACGTCGTTTTCTCAATTTTGAGGTTATTTATGTCTAACCACATTTTTTGGGTACCCAGTTGTGGCCAAATCATATTTAAGCAGTCATTTATATTTTTCTTTCAATTATTAAAGCTGTAATTTAGTTTTTCTTTTGATTTTTTTGAAATTGAATGTGTCTTTCTTGAATTTTCTCTTTTATTATACCTAATTAAATTTTCTACTTTATTTACATTCTCATAGGTTTCAGTCAAAATCATAGGTTTAATGGCAATTATAATATGGCAAGGGTTGCCTTCATATCAATAGAAGAGAGAAGAAAGATAAATTTGCAGAATCTCTCTTACTCTTACCGCCATAATAGTGCTGCTTGTTCCAATAAAAATAATGCATTTCAATAAAATAATATATATTGTAATAATAAAAAGGAATGCATTTTGTGTATTTAAAGGTAGTGTTCATGTTCGAATAAAGCGTAGAATTGGTTGTTTCCATGGAAATTACACGTAAAGCGCCATAAACCGCATTTATGCCGCTTATGGGAATTCGGCTTGTTTTACACAGCAGGCTAGAGGCGGCTTAATGGTTGGTCGTAGTGAACTCGATATACAAAGCTGTGTAGAAGAAAAAACAAAAAAATTCAACATGCAACATGACATTTTTTTAATTAAAAAGGTTTCAGGCTGTTTTTATAAAATATCTGATTCCTGTCCAGTAAGCCAAAAAAAAAAAAAAAAAAATTGGAGTTAACCGAAATTGACGACTGCGGCAAAAGTTTCTCCTATTTGCTTTAATCCTAGTTTGGTACTACTATGGGTTTTTCGGTTTTTGCTTGAATGTACCGTTTCTGAAATGAGTTAACGTTACTCCTATTTTATTTCAGTCTTCCAGTGATGGTTCTTTTCGGTTGATATATCATAGAAACTGTGATCACATACCATCCTGTCCTTTCGATGCCTGAATAAATAAAAAAAGTTATGTTAGGAATTAAATTAAAAAATCCAATTTAAATAGGACACAAATAAACGACACCCTTAGCAACATTTTTCAAGTAGTAAATGAAGTGTTCTGAGAAAGTTAAGGAAGCTACACTTGTTGGAGCAACATTGGAGAACGAGCAAAAACAAAAGAAGTTTCTAAACAAGACGACAAAAACAGAACAACCACTTCACCTGAATTTACTTTCTTTCTTTTCACAGTCACTTTACCCTAGCTGTTTCACTAACTTAATATATATTTTTTCCTCATTGCTATAGATCTATCCGAAATTAAACTCCAAAAGTTTGATCATTATATCATAAGGGAGATATAGATTAAATTAGTAAATTTGTCTCAAGATGAGAAGGAATAAAATATAGTAATAATTTTAAATAAACGTTAAATGTTTTCTAATAAATATTAATTCTTGTTACTATATATTCAAGTAGAATATAATTACTGTTTGTAGAAGAGACAAACATTTCTAACCGTATGCAGTATATAAAAGCCAACTTAATTCTAGGAACAAAGCTCCATCTAAAGCTTACTAGAAGCCATCTAAAGCTTACTAATTAGATAGTAGTTGGTATGGGTTAGGAGTAAAAAATGGTGATTCATCTGTTTCAATGTTTGTTTCGGTGGTCATAATTTCTGTTGAGGTACCAGATTGTGGTTCATTTGGTCTGTCAGGTGTAGATGGTGGTGTTTTTCTGTTAGAACGCCTAGGCTTTTGCTTTACTGGCGAATTGAGAGAACTATTATTGCCTAAGCTTCTCGATCTTTTGTTCTTACTAGACATTATCATATGATAATATCGCATTTCATGTCAACGACTATTGAAAAAGTTTTTTTTTTTTTTACGGAAAAATTACGCAGAACGATAGAGGGCCGAGTGATATGAACCAGCTACTTAAAAAACTCGACAGGTACTGAGACTGCCGGACTCTAAGTGGGGGGACTTCA